CACTGCTATAAAGTTTTACAAGAATGTTTTTCGTAACGGAAATGCTGACAAACATAATAATAAACACCAATTTAAGGCTCTTAATTATATGTTTGTGTAGGATTTAGTCATAGTCGCAGAATATTTGGTTCTGTTTTCAGCACTAATTTTGCCAAAATCTACTTTCAAATTAGGCGACTGTAAAAGATGATCAGTCTGAGCGTCTCCCTTTGATGGACAAGGGTTCTGATTGTTTTTTATTTTTCTTGGAAAGCTTAATTATGTCTTTCAAGTATGATTTCATCTAGATCTTTTCATGGTTTGCATGTCTGAATACTAATAGTAATCTGATATTTATGAGGAACTTAGTTTGAGACCAAAAGGCAGTTTTCAGTTAGTAAAGAGCATATAAATAAATCACCTCCCAGCAACGCCTAAATTGGTAGATTCAAAATATCTACATAACTTTAAATTTCCAAAAACTAATCATTATAGTTTTTCTGAAGTAACTGACACAGTCAGTTCTTCTTGAAACTGGGGGAAGTTTACTTTTTTGGAGTTTATTTATTTATTTTTTTGGTCCGGTCGTGGGGCCTGAACTCTGGGCCTGGGCACTGTCCCTCAGCTCTTCAGCTCAAGGCTAGTGCTCTACCACTTGAGCCACAGCACCACTTCTGGCTTTTTTCTTTTTGCTTATGTGGTGCTGAGGAATCGAACCCAGGGCCTTGAGCATGCAAGGCAAGCGCTCTACCACTGAGCCACCTACCCAGCCCTGGAGTTTATTTTTTAAAGCCATTGTTTGCTGATATGTCCATAATGCTAACTTAGCAATAAAGAGTAAAGCAATTTTTAGCATGGTGTGTCTTGTGTATTTTTTAAACTTTTTATTTAAATCACATTGAATATATGGACCCAATGCAGGGAAAGTAAAATAAAACCACACTGCTTTGAAAAGCGGGGGTGAAAATATGGTGGTTACTGGATTTAACATTAGGACATGCAACATGTCATCTTTTCTGTGTAGATGATTTGGTGCAGGGAATAAGTTCTTCCACTTGCTTGTGAGTCTGAAAATACCTTAAAAGACTTATAACTTTGGAACTTGTCAGTACTTACAAAGAACAAAGTTTAAAGAATGGTGAGTGTCATTTTTCTGATAGTTATGAGGAATTCATTTTTCACTTAGAATATCTGCAGCAGAGGATACTATGATGAACAGGCCTTCAGTATGCACTGAATGTGCTTATGAGAATAATAGCAGAGTAGCTTAGAATATAAGAAAGAGGACTGAATTGATGGATGGCTGTGTTCACTCTTTAGGGACCCATATTTCTGCATAAATTTATGTTACCTTGAATTTTCAAAACTGGACAATATAATAAGGATTCACAGAATATTAATACCTCTGTTTCTTTTTTTTACATGTTCAACATTTGCAGATTTAAAAATGCCATCTAGTTTCTAGAAAGACTTGAAGGAAGGGAATCTTATGTAAGCAGTTTCAATTTTCAATATAAACATGGGGTTTTGATGGAGCCGCAAGACCCTGTAGGAGTTTGGGGACAGAACATTTTTTTTGGAGTAAATTAAAAGTTAGCTAGTTATCAGAATAGTTAACAGAATAAGAAACTTTAAAATGTTCATGAGGAATAAAAATATTAACCTAGATTACTCATAGTTACATACAGAAAAAAAATAAAATGTTACTTTATAAATCCGATAAGTTATTGTCCAAGACTCAGTTTATTTCAATAAAAGTGCCAGAGTATTAGAAAATAATGTATATCTCTTAGGGTTTTTTTGGTGTTTGATATTAGCTGTTTATATCTTTTCTTTTATCTATTTTGAGGTGGAAAGAGTTCTGGTAGGAAAACATATTAAAAAGAAACAAACATACAACAACAAACAAACAGAAAACAACTGTTGGGAGAGAATCTTGATTTCAGAATCAATCTACCTCCATGAAAAAGGGGACTGAAAAAATTTTTCAAATGGTTTAGGTCTTCTATTCTGCACCTAAAAAAAAACTGCATGTAAATATCAAGTATGTGTCCATATGACTAATTTTTCAATAGATAACATTTCAGAATGTAATGTGCTTATCTTCAATTACTCTAACATTAATGTTAATTTTATAAAACCAACTTTAAACAATCATTGAAGAAATTTCAATTTCACTCTATTTTGGAGGATGACTGGAAGTTCAACAATCATGATCTTCATCCCTCTTCCTCAACTATGTAAAATTATGGGAAAAACATTATTTTAAACACTGGATAATACCGTTGCCCAGATTCCTTGCCCTGCAAATATTATCCAATTACTCTTGAATCCCCCAAAGATAAATTCATATATATATATATATATATATATATTCAATGAATGGAAAAAGAGTGTACTGAAACAAAACACAAAGTGAATAATTGAACAACTCATTGTAATTGGAGAGGATTTTAAATGCATATAATCTTATGCCACTTCAATAATCAGCGTTGGGAAAGGTATTTCTATTCCCTATCAGTCTAGCAACAGGGACCCATTCTGAGGCCCTTGTTCTAGTTTCTTCTGCCTTATAGCTTCTAATGATATGAGCGTCCGTCCCAGCTACACGAGTAGTCATTTGTACACTAGAATTTACAGCTTTGTAAAGTTCTGTGGAGCTTACAAATCCTTGAGATTTGTAATGTGTGGCAGAAATGCGTAGCAAGCTTCCTCTAGGTGTAGACATAGCCACTGTGAAAATCGGTAGAAATTATATATGCGATTAAAAGATGAGAAATTACTGCAGGGAAAATTAGTGCTCTAGGAGAAGCTGGGAAACAGGCAGCAAATTCCCGCAGAACTAGAAGGATGGAATATGAGCTGGCAGAGTCTACTAGGAAGAAAGGTTTGCCCCATATACTCACAAACGTACAGATTCATGCTGTTTTTTGGTTGTCTCCGTCCTAGCTATCTCATAGAGACAATATATATGCATGAGATTGAAGTTGACAACTACTTTGGTGCTGGTTCTGAGGCTTGAACTCAGGACCTGCGCGCTGTTACTTAACTTTTTCATTCTTGTGTAGGACTCCACCACTTGAGCCACAGCTCCTGTTCTGGCTTTTTTTGGTGATTAATTGGAAATAGGATTTTCAGGGCTTTCCTGCCCTGGCTGGTTTTGATTCACGACCCTCAGATCTCAGCCTCCGGAACAGCTAACATTACAGGCAGCCTTAATATAGTAGGCTCAACAGGTGCTCAGCATAGTATCATTAAAAACAACACCACCACACATACACACACAACTAGAAAGTATCAGAGCGTGCATTTGTACAGGATTGAAGTTGAGTTGGGATCCACAGATATGGCAATAATATAGTTATTAGAAACTACATTTACTACTTAAAGTGAGTAGAACAGGGTTACGCCAAGTGGAAAAAAAAACAAAAAACCTTCAGTATCCAAAACTTTCCCAAGTGCATTGAATACAATGAATTTCTAATTGCATATTAAAAAAAAGATGAGAAGAAAATAGTTAAAAGGTTACTACTATGATGATGTGGGTTGATTTAAAGCTTCTTTTCTTGTTTGAGCGTTTGCAGTTTTCTAAGGGGGGGGGCATTACGTCTTAATAAAGTAGCTTCTATTTTTCGAGCACGCTACAAATGTGAGAGGGAGAACTGTGTGCATCTGGTGTGGGCTCCTGCCCCCGCCAGGGTTTGCAGGTGCCACACTGAGGCATGAAATAGCTCCGAGAGTAGCTGGGCACCGTTTGCTCGGGTGCCTCTCCCGGCTTCCCCGCGTGGCTTCTCGGAAGAGCCCAGGTTCAGGGCCGGCGCGTTACCCAGAAGGAATGACTGGGAAGTGCCAAGGGTCCACACGGGAGGGGGTTTCTCAGTACCAACCCCTTTCAGTTCACCCCCTTCGCAGACCACCGGCACACATCTCCGCTCTTGTCTCTCGCCGGCACAGCATCCCTAGCACGAACGCTCTCTCCTTACACACCTCTGTAAGGTTTGAAAAGCGCTGCGCGGAGGCTCGGCTCACAGAACAGACCCAGGACTTCCCCCTCACGCACCAGTTGCCAGTGCCGCCCAATCGCACGCGCAAGCGCCCCCAAGCCCCGCCCCCCCAAGCGAAGCGCGTCCAACCGCAGCCCGGGAGGGACGCCAGAAGGATTCCTAGTTTTGCCGGAAAGGGCAAAAGTGGCCATTGTGCTCGTTTGATAGTTAAAAAAAAATACAGGGTCCTTCCACCTTAAGGCAAGCTATCTTGTCTGGCCCAACTCGCCCCAACCTTGATTCGGGTAGAGAAAAAAGAAAGGATGGGGGGGGGGGGGGAGAAGGAAAAAGGAGAGGTTGGCGGGGGCGGGGAAGGAAGAAGGCGGGGGTGAGAAGAAGAGGAAAAGCTGTGGGGAGAAAGGAAAAGAGAGGAAAGAGAGGGAAAGGGGAAGGGGGGAAAGGAAAGGGAGGAAGCCCCCCGTTTCTCTTTCCGTAGGTACCTCTTCTCAGCTCCTCGGACCCCGGGACCGCGCCCCAAAGCGAGGTCGCACCCCTAACTCCTGCGCATCCCTCTCAGGTCTGGGGTTCTGGCTCAGCCCTTCTGCTGAGCACCTGCTGCAGAGGCCTTCGCTGGGTCTCTAGAGACTTTAAACAATAAAAGTAGGAATTTGTACTTTTATTATTATTTCTATTTTTTTTAAAGATAAGGAGGGGACAGTGGACTGTCCAGGAAGCCCCCCAAAGCTGCAGTTTGAGGAGAGCCTAAGCTTCCCACCGGCTTGGCCCGAAGGAACGTCCGGGTGAGAGATGAGAAACCCCGGGGAGGCCTGGGAAGCCTTTTTCTACTGGGGAGGATGGTGCACATTTGAACACAGCACCTGCCATCTGTCTCAGGATCGGTGGCGTTTTACAGTCGCCACTCCAAGCTTCAGAACGCCCACAGGTTCTGTCTTGGGGACAACACCTTACCCCTCAGTCCCCTCCCCCTTGGTGCGCCCTTGGCGAGCAGGGAGGGTATCGCCCCTCATCACCCAGGTCTCAGCCAGCCTCCTTCTTCTCGCAGCTGTCCAAGAGCTCGGTCATGAAGGAGATGTACACGATGGCCAGGCGTAAGGTCTCGATCCGCGACAGTCTCTTCTCGTAAGCGAAAGTGGGCACTTTCCTCCGCAGCTGGTCGAAGGCCTCGTTGAGGTTGAACATGCGCTTCCTCTCGCGGATATTGGCAGCCTGGCGCTGGGCATAAGTGATAACCCTCTTCCTTTTGGGACGGCCGAGTAGGGAGGTTACTCTCCCACGTCCCTCTTCTTCCTCCTCCTCCTCCTCCTCCTCTTGTTCGTCCCCTTCATCTATATCTCCCTCCTCACCTTCTGGGACCCCCTCCTCTAATGGTACGAGCCTCGGGGGCCTTCCCTCTCCCAGCCCAACCCTTCCATCCCCAAAGGGAATCCCGCGTGGGAAGTCACAGAGAAAAGAATGTCTCGGGGAGGACAGAGACAGGTCTGCCACGAAGTCCAGCACGGTGGCATCCACGCAGCCCTCGGGGTAGAGCGCCATCCGTCCGTCCAGCGCGGCCCCTGAATCGCATGGGTTGCTGATGGAGTTTCTTAACAGTTTTGGCTTTGAGGGTGCGGCCTCAACCACCAGCAGAGACATCGATATTTATAACCAAGCGAATAACAAGATTAGCTGCAGCCATACGGAAGGCTGTGACAACGTCAGTCTTCTGGAAGTTGATGGAAGGGGACAAACTTAAGCAGGCACGAAACGGGGGGCTCAGAAGGACAATCTGAAGTCCGGGAGACCTTTTATGCAGCCGTGGGGACAGTTCCTTCTTGCCACGAACCCCCAGGGCTTACCTGCTGTGCCTTTTGTGTCTGTCTTCACCCCTGCAGCCAGCTAATGTTTCTCCCGGCTCCTTATCTCTTGTCATTCTTTCATTGCTCTTTGGATTTTTCAAAGCCAGGATGTTTTCCACCGCGATGGCTTCTCCTTGGCTTCAGGATGGGACTCCCAGTCTGGCCACTGCCTGCCAATGAATGTAAAACAAGTGCATGTGCTTTTAATGATGTCCTGAAGAGGGGCCCTTCTTGCCCTGGGTCGAGGAGAAGTGTTTGTCCCGTATCCTGGTGCAGCCACTGCTCAAAGGCAAGACCTTGCATTAGCTTAAGTAAGCATGGCACTGGGGCCCCCCCAGCACATTCCCCAGAGTCTCTGTTGAGACAGACTTTTCTTTGTCCTTTGGGGGCATGGCAAACAACTCTCCTGCCTTGTTATAAACCCTGACTTCTAAAGTCGGCCTGGACTGAAGTCAGCCTAATACTTGAGATGCTTGACTTCCCGTTCCTGACTATTTTGGAGGATTTTATTTGGAAGAAAAAGATTAGGATGAACAATAAAATAGAGAAGGGAGAAGAGGAAATGAATTTTATATGAAACAAGCAGACTACAATGACAATGAAAAATTTAAAAAAGTGGTAGCTCAGAACATTTTCTCCATTCAGGATTTACTGTGTAATTTCCAGCATTGGAGATAAAGCCAATTTTTCTCTCTCCAAACAAAAGTGCTCAGTCATCGGTGAAAGATATAAGCTATTCTTGATTAGCAGACCAATTCACTTTCTCCTGAGGGGAGATCAAATATTGCTGACAAAGAAAAATCCCGAGGCTTTCATTTGGTTTATTTTCTTCATGGAGTCCTATAGTGTGATTAAAGAGTAATATGTCACTGAATTCTGTTTAAGGGACATTTGAGGCTTATCCCTAGACATTTTTGGGATACCTAAATCTGATATAATGTGAATGAAAATTTTACTGATTTCACATCATTGCTCATTTTAACAACAACCATATTCTTTTCTTCTTGCTTGTGTACTAACAAGAGGCAGGTCATCTACAAAGTGTATAGAGCAAAAAAAGAAAGGACTCTGGGTAAAACAGTGGGTTAGAAAATAACTTAAAGGTTGGTTAGATGAAATAGACAAAAAGTATGAGCAGAAAACTTTCTTGGTACCAGGGAGAACCAGTGGACCTCAGCCCCTCTGAAGGGGATTAAGTTCACTCAGCACATTGGACAGCTCCCAGAAACCACCTATTCCTAACAAGTAAGAAATTCCACTTCCTGCTTTTTAGCTGTCCAGTGAGTAATCAAAATAAGAAATTTGGCTTCATTTCACAATAGGTGATTTCAAATAGCTATAATGTACAGTGCATTTTACAATACTGGAAGAAAAGATGATGAATGTTTTCAGCTTAAAGAATCAATAAGTGTGGACATAATGTTTAACCTGATTATACATAGTACCTCATTAATTTTACACAGTATGTACATTTTTATGTATCAATTAAAATTGATTTACTCTAGATTGTAACATGAAATTAATTTTTTCTTTTCTTTTTGTCAGTCATGGAGCTTGAACTCTGGGCCTGGGTGATGTCCCTGAGCAGTTCAGCTCAAAGTGAGTGCTCCACCACTTGAACCACAGTGCCACTTCCTTTTCTTCTGTTTTTAATGGTTGGTGTGGGCTCTTTTTTGGTATTTGTCCTCTAGTAGACCTTTTCCTTTTCTCTGACTACATTTACTCTTCATTCCTTAATTTGTATTGTGATAATTACATAGGAAAGAATTGCTTTCTTTTTTGTTATTCCAGAAATATTTCAAAGGAAAACAGATTTTTGTTTTGATTTTTCTACTTGATTTCCTTGCAAAAAGGAAAACTGAAAACTAGAAATGAATAGAATTGTCAACAGTAGATAAGAAACTGGGAAATGTGGGAGAATTGATTTTTGTTTTTACAAACAGCAACATGATTTTTAATATCTGTGCAATTTAATGTGCCATTTAATATTTGGGCAAATTTTGTTGATCTTTTATTATGCTAAGTGTTTTCCATGATTTATTTTGTTTTAAGTATGTGTGTGTCTCAACTATCTCAGTCAAGTGAGAATCGTGTGTATGTGTGTGTGTGGGGGGGGGCCTTGTGCTAGGCCACGTCTTATCAGTTAAGCCATATCTCAAACTCCTTTTAGGTTTAGCTTAGTTTTCAGGCAGGATCTCATACAATTCTTTGTTCAGCTGGGTCTTAGAATGAAATTTTCCTACATATGCATACTCTGTAGCTAGGATTATATATGTAAGACACCATGCCAAGAGATCACTCATCTTTGTTGAAATGGAATGTCACTGATTTTTTGCTTAGGCTAGCTTTGATCATTCACATGAGCTCTGCTTCTTGAAAAGCTGGGAGCTATAGGTATGGACTATGCCTGCCCTTATAGTCACGTTATGCTTGCCCTTTCATTATGTTACTTAATGAAGGGAAACATGGATGATACTTAAATTAAAAATGTAATAAAATCAGGATTGGAAGCTGTGAAGAGGCTCTAAGGAGAATTTACGTTTTTCATTAAATCCTTATGATTTAACCAATGAGTACTTCCACAATTATATCATAGAGGACATTGCTGCAAAAATTAATGAAACCAACATCCAGAATTACATTGAAATTCTAGCACTAATTTTAGTGCTAATAGGTATCTTTTAACACTAGTTAAAATACCTTCATCTGTGTCATGTATTCCCAAGATAAACCCTTATGTTCATACCAAAGAAGTTCTAATCATGTTGACACAGCTAATGCTAAAGTTTTAAAAAATATTATGGTAATGACAGATTCTCTCATTCCTAATAAATTGTAGCAATGAAATGAATGAAATCATTTTTGCTTATTTTGAAAATACACTTTTTTTGTAAATATTTGTTTCCAGAACAAATATGCACCCTAAGCACAGGAAATCTATAAAGTGCTAAGGATTTCAAACAGTTCACCCCATTGGATTAAACCATTGCTTTCTTTTCTGAATTTGGCAGGTAGAAAGATTTTTTTTTAAAAAAGTCATACTCATCGGAGGATCAAAGGAAGTCAAATTCAACCTTGGTTCCCCTTGTATCCAAGTTCGTGGTCTATCATTTTGTCACCAAGAATTTTATAAATCTTCCACAAACTTTGTTCTGTATATTTCAGGAACTCTTCAGGGTGAGACAATCAGTTGTGCTTATGTGATTATCTTCTGTATTTCTGTTGGCAACCCTCTTCAACATTTTGTGTGTGCACTGTAATTCTCAGAAGGGCTGGATGGGACTTTAAGAATCATGAGCAAAGAAGGCATAGGTTTTAAAAAGTGTTCAGGGAGTAAATGATTTAGTTCTTCTAAACTTGTAGTTCTCCCTTTTCAACTTCTTTCCCTTATTCTTACATTATCTACATTTAGCACAAGTGATATATATATATCACAGATAGATGTTGGCATAGTTGCAGGAAAAGTGTTCCTCCAGCTGACATGGAGAAAGGCTTTGCATTCTCTTCCTGTCCAATTTCAAATGTCATATGGTTCTTGTTATGGATGATTTTAGAGATAAAAGACGGTCTATCCATGTTCTTGTTTCCATTTTATATTTGAAGTAAGCTTGTTTCAAAGGCAGTATACTCAGGTGCTGGTGGTTCATACCTGTAATCCTAGCTACTCAAGAAGCTGAGATCTGAGGGCCACAGTTTGAAGCCAACCTAGGAAGGAAAGTCTATGAGAGTCTTGTCTCCAATTAACAACCAAATAGCCTGAAGTGGAGATGTGGCTCAAATGGTAGCATGCCAACCTAGAGCATGAAAGCTAAGGGACAGCACTCAGACCTTGAGTTCAAGCTCCTGTACTGGCATGCATGTGTGTGCATGCACACGTGCACGCACGCACACACACACACACACACACACACACACACACACACTAGTGTATACATTAAAAATTAAATCACCCATATGCATATTAAGTTTTTGTAAAGTGAAGAAACCCATGAAATCCATATCCAGACTTCAAAATAGAATGCTTTGCTATAGTTCAAATAATGGGAACACTGATGCCTTAAGTTTATAGCTGGAGAGAAGTAAACTTTGTAGTAGCCTTCATTCAGATAAAGCTTCAGAGTAATACAATCATCCTAGAAGACCTCTCTAACAAGCTTGGGCCTGTATCCAATTACTAGCTACTGCTCAGATTACTTCCAAGATTGATTCAGTTCATTATATACAAATAAGCCATAGTCTGTATATTTTTGTGACATTCACTAGGTATTCCGTGAGCTTTATAAATGTAATTTGCAATGTTGAATTGTGTTTCACTGTATGGATATAATATTATTTGTTGGTGCCACTGTTGATGGAAAACTGAATAGCTTCTAGTTTTTAGCTGTTGTAAATAGCACTAGTATGGATATTGTTGTATATCTATTGATGAGTATATTTAGTTACTGAACATGAGGAAGTATGAGTCCTTTAATAACGTCTTTCAATGAACCGAACTTCTTATATTTAGTGTAGTATAAATTATCATTTTGACTCATTAATTCTCTTTATGTCTTGTTTAAGAAGTCCCAATGTTTGACTCATACATATACTAGATATTGCAAATAAGGGAAACCATGGGACCTATGTGTCTTTGGGCTTGGCTTACTTCACTTAATATAATTTTTTCCAAGTCTTTCCATTTCCTAACAAATGGGGCAA